AAAATTAAAATAAAGAAAAACAATGCAAATAGATGAAGCTGCTACTTGTGTCTTTTAGTGTACAAGATGGGAGTAGTCTTTACCATAATGGGCTTTTAGCAAATAAGTGTTTTAATAGTGGATACTTTGTAAGATCTAAACTTTTAAATGCGTTTACTTGGAATTTATACACAGTTTCTTTGACTTGTGGCAAATATATTCTCTGAGGAATAGAGCTTCAGTTGTGCTGTGCTTAAATGACTTAACTTCAAAAGCCTTCCAAAATTCATGTTAATTGCATAAAAATTATTCATTCTTCATAATGAGGAAGTCCTATAAAGGTTATAAATGTCTTGAAGCTTACAGAAAAGATGAACTATGAAAATCTTACTTCTTTTGTGATTACAAATAAAAAATTAGCTATTTATGTTTTTCCTAAATGCTAGCTGGTGATTCACATGTTTTCATTTCAGTCCCAGGAGGAGTTTGTTATAAGGAAATCATAATTAATAGTAGATAAGAATATATTACTTCCCTTGTTCGTTGTCAGAATTAATAGATTGAATTCAATGTCTGACTCATCCAGTCTACCAAGGCAGTAGCTATTATGAGCAGGGCTTCCACTTAGAATGGATCCTGCTAGTGAGTAGCTTTTTACAAATTATTTTAGTAATTTGATCCTTTTTGTAACAAATAATTAGACCTATGAAGTGTAGATTGTTGATACTCACTTCCCATGATATGATATAACAGATGATGTATAGGTGTGTCGAACCAATTCTCCATGTATGTGATGGTGAGCTTTTGTTTGATTGGTTGGTTTTTGGTTTGTTGTTTCGTTGCTGGATTCCTATTTTCTTTTGGTGTTGTTCAAATTTTTCGTTTGTTTCTTTATTTTTCTTTCCTGGGAAGTGCATCTGACTGCTGTATGGGCATAGTATAGTTTTAAAAGTTCCTTTGACAGTAGGTTTGTTTATTAAGCTGTATAGCATTTGAACTAGATGTTGATATTCGGAATTATTCCTTGAGCAATTATGTGATTACAGTATGCTATCCTTTTTGATATTCTGGTCATACAAAAACAGTAAGAAGGATCACTGAATAGGCTTGATAGGTACTGTAGTTATGAAACAGCTTTTATTGCTTCCACACGATGTACTTTAGAGCAGAGGATTCAATTTTGATTAAAATCTTTGGAAGTATGATATTTTTGTTTTGTATATGGTGTGAATTATAAGCCTTCTTCCCTAAGTCATTTGTTTTATTTTGAAGATTGTATCTGGAACAGAGCGACTTTCATGAGAAGTTTACTGGTGGGGACGTTTGTGTGGATAGATCCTCAGAATCCGTGACCTGCCAGACTTTTGAACTGACGTTGAGGTCTTGCCTTTATCCACACATAGACAAGCAGTACTTGGAATGTTGTGGCAATCTAATGCAAACTTTAAAGAAGGATTATAGGTGAGAAAGCAGATTTACTTTTCCTTTACCCTTTTTTGTAATTACCAATGATATGCCATGCGCTACAGGCAGGAATTTTATGTTGTGCTTCTACTCCAGTTTGGTAATCGACAACAAAATCATTGAGGAGGAATCTAACGTGATAGACCAAGTTTTCACCCAGGATTCTAACTTAAATAAACAGCAAAGTTACCATTTGTTTTTGGTGGATGTTCAGTAGGGAAATTATTTCAAACCGCAGTTTTGATAGTGTTGTCATTTGAAACTGGAAGACATATTTTAGGAAACCAGAACGTATTTGTTTCATATGAGATTTGGTTATGATACTGTAAAATCGAACAAAAGAATATTGTGCTGTAGTTTTGTATTACTTGGAGTAAAAAGGCCAATTTCTCCTACCGTTCAGATGGTCATAAGTTGTCGTGTTTTTAATCGGTCTGAAATATGTAATGTATCTATAGTCACAGTTCTTGTAAGGGTTGGAGCAGTACTATTCTTTCTTTTTTATCTGAAAAGGAATATCCTTATCATAATTTCCTGGGGCTCCATTTTACAGTCTCTTCTTAGACAGAACTCTCACTGAAATTGTGTCTCCTTCCCCAAGTTCTTTTTAGGGAGAGGGACAGAATTTCCAGACTCTAGGCTGCTTTTAAAAATTAACCTTCCCTGGAAGATGGCTGCATACCATGAGCACTTTCCTTGAAGCTAGTGGGGCTGTACAAGCTTGCAGGAAAAAAATGGCGTGGTTATTTTTTTTTATTTGAATATATGTGAAGGCTGTCTGAGGATTAAGCAGAGAATGTACTGTGGATCTCATTAAGTTTGTGTTCATGACCAAGTTCTTGTGAAGAGTTTTTAAGATTTTATTTATTTATATATTTATTCTGTAAACAATTGTGTTTGATTTCACTTGCATGGTTAATTCTGAGGAAACGTTATATGTTTGTTCCCTATTTAGGCTGGTAGAATATTTGCAAGCAATGAGAAATTTTTTCTTACTTGAAGCTGGAGATACCATGTATGACTTCTATACGTCTATTTTTGACAAAATTAGAGAAAAGGAGGCTTGGCAGAATGTCACTTTCTTAAATGTTCACCTGCAAGAAGCAGTTGGGCAACGCTATCCAGAGGACAGTTCAAGGTAAAAAGCAAAATCTTGCAAAATGTACTTTAGTTATTTCTTTCACACTTACCTCTACTAATGTACTTAACTTGCATAGCGTGATACTAATTGTTGTGTGCTCATTATGAGAATCTGCTATGATGAGACATCTGCTATGTCTTCTGCCTAAGGCTGCTAGATTAAATCAGACAGTTGATATTTAGCAATAAGAAATAAACCCAAATTGATTAAATTAAACAGTAATTTAAAAGATATTATGACCAACGAAATCACTTTTTTCCTTGCATAGGTTGTCCATATCATTTGAAAGTGTTGATACAGCAAAGAAGAAGCTCCCTGTCCACACCTTGGATGGTTTGACATTGAGTTACAAGGTAGTGAGTTAATACTGCTGTAATTCTCACTCTAGGACACATTTGACGTGTTCTGTTAAAGTGACTTACATTTTCTGTGTTATTTTCTACTCTCCTTAGGTTCCTTGGCCTGTGGATATCGTTATAAGCTTAGAGTGCCAAAAAATTTACAATCAAGTTTTTTTGCTCTTACTGCAAATAAAATGGGCCAAATATAGTCTAGACGTTTTAAGATTTGATGGTAAGAAGCTTCTTCAATGTAAGATACTCTAAAAACTTGTTCTGTGGTCTAAGGATATAAATAGTCTGTCGCTTTCTGCAGCAAGTAGTTGAAATTGTGATTTACTCTATAAATATTAATCTCTTATTAGCTTCACAAATTAGCTCTGTTAGGCAGGGCATGGTTTTCACTTCTTTTCTGCCTCAGGGACAACCCTCTTTTGTGTCTTTGATTCAGGTCTCGTTAGTTATATTGGAAACCTGTTACTTTTCAACAGCAATGTCTGAAGAGTAGGGAGGTCTGGCCACCACACCCTAATATTTTGCTTTGTGTGTATAGCCTGAGTGGTTATGAGTAATGCTTTGCAATCAGGTGAGGGAAACAAGATGAAAAATACTCAATTTGAGGTTTAAACTTGTTTAAGCTAGGTGGTTTGGAATATGTACTCTGAACTACAATTTAAATATCTGGAGATTGTAGAAAGGAGATAATCTTAGTATCTCCATCACCAGGTTAATGTTTATACTCTTCCTGTCCCATATAAAGTGAATGCACATGTCATGTCCTTGAAAAATAAATTAGAAAGTTGATGAGTTCATCTGTATTTTGTGCATCAGTTAATTCTCTTCCTAAAAGTATGTGGTTTTAGCTTTATGGTATAGCTTTGTACTTAGGTTCCCCGCCCGGCCCCCCCATGGAGATAGTATACACATTTATTCTTAATGTAGATTTTTTTTTAGCCTTTTACATAATATATAGCTCTTAAACAACATTTCCTATTCTTGTATTTATCAAATTGCATTGTACTTATACTATTCATTGTACTATTAAACTATTCAGTATATTGTTGCTGTGTTTTAATAACACATCTGAATTGCACGGAAAATCTTACATTATTATTGTGTGCAGAATAATTAATAAATTTTGGTTTTATGTAGCATTTTAACTAGAGTTTGTCTTCATAAGCACTTCAATATAATATTCCTTCCTCTTCTTTTAAGAACTGGTCTGTGCTGCAGAAAACTCACAGGTTAAGGAAGGAACTTCATTAGAACAAGGAACGCTTCCTCTATTTGGATCGCAAACAGAAAGTATAAAACAACAGATACATCGCATGTTCCTCTTAAGAGTGAAACTTATGCATTTTGTTAACAGCCTGCACAACTACATCATGACTAGGGTTTGTCTTCTATCACAATTTAATTTATATTAAGAACTTGTAACTGGAGATGCAACATTTTACTTTTAAACATAAAAAATATTAAAAAATCGTAGTCTAATATCCTTTCTACAAAAGTATTTTGAGCTAAACATGTTTGTGTTTTAACTTGGCAGTTCTAAAGCATTCCTAGAATTACTAATTTAAAAGCTCTACATGCATATGATAAATCTTGGTTATTACTAGCTCTTTTTGACTGTTTTTCCCAGGAAGTGAAGCACAGTCATACAAAAATAGGTTTCTGTAAGCCATTAACTCTTAAAAAGAGTTATTAAGCTTATAAAAGTGTTCCTAGGGAAATTTTAGTTAAATGGATCTTTCTCAAAAATCTCTGGTACACAGATCCAAAATTGTGTATCTGAATTCTCAAATATAAAGGGAATGCCTGTAGATTCATATCTGCACTAGTGTTGCCTTTTTTTTTTACTTTAATATAATTAATATACTTCAAACCAGCTCCTCTGGGGATAGTCTGTCTGCCTTTGTGCAGTGGCATTATTCCTATTTATATGAGGAATGTCACTGTGCAGTTATGAGAAGAGCTCGAATTTTTTGCTGTTCATTGTAATTTAGAGGGCGGGCCTAAAATTTGAGAGGGAAGAGTGAATGAATCAGGTAGTAAGAAATGGGAAGGTAGTCATAAGCACTTGTGTGCAATGTGGAATTTAATAACCATTGTCTTCTTTTCAAGATTCTTCACAGTACTGGCTTGGAGTTTCAACATCAGGTAGAGGAAGCCAAAGATTTAGATCAATTGATAAAGATTCATTACAGATATCTATCTACAATCCATGATCGCTGCCTACTGAGAGAAAAGGTGGGTAAAAAAAATTGGCAGATTTAATATATTGAGTTTAGCAGGACAAGGAAGCAGTTTAGTACTAATTCTGCAGTCTTATTTTTCAGTTCTTACGTATTAAACAATTTCTTGAGGAAGTGGTAGCTTTGCCAGAGTTAGCACTGAGATCCAGTTTCTCTTGCAAGTCTCAGTTCTGTCAAGGAGAGAAGATAAAGTTAAATTCTTTATATTGGGCTTTACGCTGAGATCCAGTTTCTCTTGCAAGTCTCAGTTTGGTTCTGTCAAGGAGAGAAGATAAAATTAAATTCTTTATATTGGGCTTTACATGACTTGTTTCTAAAAGATGGGGGGATTTGAACAAGCTGAGGCTTGCTAATGTAATGAGGATTACACATACTGGTATGGCAGGAGATGAAGATCTGTTTATAGCATTGTAGCCTTTTATTCAACAGACTGACTGTGCCTGATCCTCATCAAAATAGTCAGCTGTGACATTAATTAGAGAGCAAATACAGAACATATCTTAAGTTTGAAAGAATCACACTGAAATTAAGAGATTGTTGTTACCAATCAGATTAAGTGGCATGGGATAGCTGTGTATTGCAGCTTAATAATGAAAGTGATGATGCTTAACAATGAATTTCTGACTGTTGTGTTGTTTGTTTTAATTGTCCTGTTAGGTGAGCTTTGTGAAAGAAGCTATAATGAAAGTGTTAAATTTAGTGCTGATGTTTGCAGACCGCTGGCAGGCTGGTTTGGGGGCTTGGAGGTAAGTATACCTACCTAAAATTCTACATGGTCATAATTTCACAGCTCAAGGTTTTTTCATGTGTGAAATAATAGGACTTTGCTCAGTGTTTAGCAGCAGATGTCAGAGGCTAATTGCAAATTTTTAGCAAAAGTGAAATTAGATAGAACGTAAAAAGTTTTATGCACTTGTGTCAGTGTATGTTCAGTATTTTCTAATTAGAAAGGTGGCCAGTATATAAATTCTAAGTGTTTGAAAGGATTGTTAAGCATAGCAACAAAGAGGGTTTTCTTTTCCATTATATTTGTCTGTAACGGTGAAATGAGAGGTTCATGGGTTTGATTTATGATCATGTTTCCTGGTGACAATTTAAAATTGTAGGCAGGTGGATGTTGATGTTTGTTAACTAATTTATGAAAAGTGGGATCATTTAGTTTGGTCTTCGTTCTAGAAGGCATAAAATTTTTGTTTTTCTTTTGAAAAATTAATATAATCTAAATCTAATCTCAAACCCTCCTTATTTTTCTGATCTGGGCTGTCCAAATTATAAAGCCTTTGTCAAAAAATTTGTGATAAGACTGTGAAGCTGTTGGAAGTCAATGAAAGTTCTGCCATTGACTTTGGAGTCAAGATTTTCATGTGGAATGTTAGATTCCATTAGTTCAAATGCTCAGATAACGTATTACTGGTAGAATTTGAAGTTATTTTTGATTTACCCTTTCCTATAGTACCTTTCTGTAGAGACAACCTGGGATGGGTCTTATTGGTATTTTTAGAGATTCATAGAATCACAGAATGGCCTAGGCTGGAAGGGACCTTAGAGATCATTTTAATCCAGGCTCCCTGTCGCCAGGGACGCAACATGTCGACTAGATCAGGCAACACATGGGGACCAAACGGGAATCGAACCCGCAACCTTAGCGTTGTTAGCGCCACGCTCAACTGACTGAGCTAACCTGCCTCCTAAGATCTGTGCTTCCTTATGTGCCATGATTGAAGTTAGAAGCCCCCTGTAATTTCCAAGACAAGTTTAAAAATAAGATCTTTTTTAGAATAGAAAACTGTCTCGGTTGGAAGGGACTTTACCAGGATCACCTAGTCCAACCTCCTGACCAAGCAATTTATTAAGGGGGTTGTCCAAATGTCTCTTAAACACTGACAGGCTTGGGGTATCGACCACCTCTCTGTGAAGCCTGTTCTGGGGTTTGACCACCCTCTCAGTAAAGAAATGCTTCCTAACACCCAGTCTGAATGCAGTTTTGAGCCATTCCCGCATGTTGTGATACTGGGTACACACAAAGCACGAAGTCCATAGCTATTCCTCATGGGCCATTCTTTCCATCCCTTTCACTGGCTTTGTTGCCCTCCTCTGGATGCGTTCAAGGACCTTCTTAAATTTTGGGCCCCAGAACAGCACACAGAGCTCAAGGTGAGTCCACACCAATGCTGAACTCAGTGAGATAATCCCTGGTTTTGACTTCTCCTGGTCATGGCATGTTTGATCCCCTCCAGGATGGGGCTTGCCCTCCTGGCTGCCAGGGCACACGACTGACTCCTGCTGAGCTGCTGCCCACCAGCACCCCCAGACCCCTTTCTCCTGGGCTGCTCTCCAGCCATTCCTCTCCCAATTCATATTTCATGCTTTTGCTTGTATAACCTGCTCCTTGGAGGATGAATGACAGTGGGCAAGTCTCCAAGGCTACATCTGACACTTGAGGGTTGATCTGTGCCCTCGGGCCAGCTGGTGGGGACTGGCTCACATCCATATTTTTCAGGACCAGTTCTCTTTGGCACAGATGCTACTTAGACCTTCAATCCTGCTGTCCTGTGGCACTAGGTGATTGCTATTTTTGGAGTGCTTTTCCAGTTCAAAGTGTCAGAAATAATTCGTGAAGACTGTTGATAAAGACTAAAACTCAGGGTATGTGTTTACATGCTCTTGCATGTGGCAGGAAAAAATCATAGCTGATGTAATATCATTTTGGGAGAGAAGCAAAAGGGAAAGGAGTGACAATTGTGAACTACATCTTCTCCCTCCTCAGGTGAGCACTAGCTCGCACAGTCCAACATGTGGTTCAAGAGCTGGCTGACAAAACAGGGATTCCTATGCTGCTTTTCTATTTGGCAATGTAGGTTTACCCCAAGGAACTCTGAAGCAAGAAGTATCAGGAATGGCTGTCTTTAAATACAAAGCTGTGTAAGACTAGTAGTCGTCAGTTGGAACTGCACAGTTCCTCCTAGTTACTGCAGAGATTTCTAAGATGATGAGGAAATTATTCACGCCGTTGTGCTAGTGTTTAGATGCTTCTGTCAAAATTGCCTTTGTTTTCCCGAAGTGGTGTACACAGGCGTAACTGAAATATTTTTAAGTTCAAACCAGAATGCTGTGCAAAGAGTGCTTTTGTCATTTACTGTGAAGTTTTGGTCATATTTTGAAGATAACATAGCAGCTAGTCTCTTAAGCATTCCTCTGTTCATATGTTTTGTAGGATGGAATCCATAGAGAAGATGGAATCTGATTTTAAAAACTGTCACATGTTTCTTGTCACTGTTCTCAACAAGGCTGTCTGTCGAGGCTCTTTTCCTCACTGTAAGTACCTGAGGCTTTTCACAAACCTGCACTTACTGGGACACAAGCTTTACAGGGAATATATTTACCTTTTAATGTTTGTCAGTACACATTAGAGAATCTCATTTTGCGAGATGTTCACCGAGGGACACGAAGCCTTACTAAATAAGTTAACTTCATTATTTTTTTAGAGTATTTGTGCCATGCTTTTTTTGACAGCTACCTTCAGTTTATTTCTTGATGAGAAGATGCTGGTGGAGCCAAACAAATGACATGCAGTTTTCTAAACAAATGAGACTGTTCTGGAGTGCATAGAAGAACGTTCTTTCTGTTGTAGTTGGGTGACAGCTGTGCTGTATCTTGAACGGATAAAATTTTAGTATTACGATGTCTGAGCTGCAACTGCACCCAGCTCTTGGCTCTGGTAGCAGAAACAGCAGAAGACAATGTGTCTGTGCTTCGTCTCGCAGCCTGGTATTAGCCTAAATTGCTGATCAGTGCTGCTTGGAGTTAGGGGGGCGACTGCTGATTGGGGCTAGCTCGGATGTGGTGAGTTTCTGAAAGAGGTTATATCTGCCATCGCTGCTACTCTACTGTGAGAGTTTGTCTGCAAGAACCGTCTGTGGGGGTGGCTTACTGCATATAACCCCCACAATGTTTATTCTTTTTTGGGGGTACAGCAGGTAGTATTTCAACCAAAGGAGCTAATTTCTTACCAGTTCTTACCACCTGAAGTTGCTAATGGATACCTGATGATGAAAGTGGTAAAATTTTGTCTAAATAGTCAGAGGTTCATCGAATGCCTTACTGCCTTAAATCCTGAAGTGTTGGCAATTTAAAAAATAAACTGGCATCTTCCTTTTAAAATACAGAAATTAATATTGCAGTAAATATTTGCAGACTGCTGCAAATGCAAATATTAACTACTTTTTTATGGTTTGGTTCACAGTGGAATCATTAGCTTTGTCGCTGATGGCTGGCATGGAACAAAGCTAACACCTGAAGCACTTGAATTACTGAAGAACTGAAAGCAGCATTTATGATGAAATTCCTTTATTAAAAAACTGTAGGCATTTTATGCTCCAGTTTGAAGTGTGTATAGCTAAATGACATGGGTGGTTTGGAGCTATGTAAAATATTTTTAAATGTAAATAATGTACAGGTATTTAAGTGCATTGGTTGTGGCATTATTTTTCTCTGCATGTATATGCTTGAACATCAGAAAACATGTACAGTGTCCAATTCACCCTATGTAAACATGAAAGTACGTAAAATGTATTTCATGCTGTAAAAATTATTTATATTTTGTTTCATTATGAATAATTAACTCATTTACTTTTTCCATTAATTTTGCAGCTCTGAAGAGGTTACAGGGCAGAAGGTTGTTTGGGTTAATTTTTGGCCTTTTTTGCCTTTGAAAAAAAAGAACAGTTGACTGTTACAATAAGCTGATATTAAAAATACAGGATTAACTTACCAGTGGATTGTTGCAGACCATAAAATACCAATATTTTTATGCTAAATGATCAAATGCGTACTAATTTTTTTGTCAATTGAAGTAGGATCCAGATCACAGTGTGTCATATTTAATTTTTAACTGTTGATTTGTTGAGATGTTTCAGAGGTGGTCAGATATGACTTGACTGTTGTTCTCATCCTAAGCCTTTTGCAAACAAGCCTTACATCCAATAGCTCATCTCTTGTAAAACACTAGCGTGTAACACAGAGGGGCACGTTTCTAGAGAAGTAAATGTGAAACGTGTTCTACCCAGGATGACTTGCCCTGCCTCCTTCCTATGAAAGTTTCTGGTATCAGCGCCCTGGCATTTAAAAAGAGAAAATCAACTGTCGCTATTTTCCTGTTTATTTATCTCAGTAAATAAAAGACTTAACAATTGGAGTTTCACTGTTGTGTGTGTTTGAAATCCACTCAGTAACTTTAAAGTCTGAGGGCTCTTTCTGCAGAATAAATGAATTATATTACTACCCACTGTGAGACTATGTGGCTTACATTGTAAAACTGTTTTGTTCAGCTGTGAACTAATAAGTGCTTTATATGAAAATGAGTATTGAGATTCTTGTCTGAACAGGAGATTTGAAAAGGTTCTTCCATGGTTTAGACATAAAATATTTTTCAGAAGTAAGAAGTTAGGTTTTGTTTTCTTTGTTTTCTTTTAAAGTATTACACTTGGAAACTTTCTGCTGCCCTGTAGCTTGTTCTTTTTTGTTTGACTGAGTGGAGGTTTTGCTTTAGAGAATGTTAGGTTTGTATTATCCTCTGTTACCACATGACACACTTTCCCAAGTGGATGTTTTTTGTGGTAGGTGGACACCTATTATTAACAAAAGTAATTTGCACTTCCAGTTTACCATAATTAGTTCTCATTTGAGATTCTGTGTTATTTATTGCACTCAGTGTTTGTTCTTTATTAACTGTTTCTTGCTCACTAAGAGTAAAGCTGAATAGCATGTTAGTTGTTTTACGAGGTACTAGTAAGTTCAGCGCTTGTATGCATTGGTTCATTACTTTTTGAGTATTTGTGTGACTTGTACTCTGTGCTTTTAAAAAAAAATAGCAAGTGGTTGCTTTATTTCTCCTTTCTATGCAGTGGTTGCCTTCAGTGAAATTACTGCTTTTCCTAGATTTACCTTGGATAATATTAGCTAGATATGTGAGAAAAAAATCCTTCAATTCTTCATGTTGTTGAAACAGTAATTCCTACTAAATGCCATTGTGGATCTTGCTTGCTTCATTTGGAAGACCTCCTGCAAGTGAAAGATTTTGCTGTTTCACTCTATTTCCTGCTCAGGAATTATCTTTGCATTCTGCAGAGAGACTTCTGTGAGCCGTGGAGGTGGGGGGGGGACTCCATGCTATTTTTCAGCCGGCTTCCGACACTTGTTTGCTCTTCTGTCATGACAAAAGCACAGTGGAAAGTCTGGCTGTGGCAGCATTGGACAATTCTGGTCACGGACATCCTCAGTGCTTAGTTTTTTGTATGTCAGTAATACTCAGCAGACACGTGCCCTTGAATGAGTCTGTCTCATGGCATCCCTTTCTCTTTCTTTAGAACCTCAGATAAATTTAAGTCCTTTCTCATAGTATGGCGTGCCCTGTCATGTCACCGGGACCTCTGTGTCAGTCACCTAGCAGTAGTTCTAATGGCTGCCTGTCATGTCACCGGGACCTCTGTGTCAGTCGCCTGGCAGTAGTTCTAATGGCTATTTACCTGTTCTGGAAAAAAAGGCAGCTTTTAGTGAGGTTTGCGGTATTTTAACTATTTATTTGCTCGAATCTCCTTGTGATGTTTTCTGATTTCTTTACAGAGCAGCATTGTTACTTGGATTCTGTCCTGGGTCTCTTCCTTCTGGATGTTTTTTTGACCTTGTTTCCAAATTTTCAGTTTTCTCAGTTATCTCTGAATTGATTTGAATCTCAACTTTTGGACACTCTTCCTCTTTGATGGAGGACACCTGGCTTTTGACTGTGCTTTACTTGTACTTCTGGAATTTCAAGTAAGCAATTACAGAGGTGTTAGCATTTATTTCGTGTATGTATGGCCTAATTTATTTCATGTATTTATGGATAGAACGGCATCCTGCCATAGTCTATTGCTTTGGAAATTGTCAAGTCTAGCTAAAGGAAAACATAAAAACCCACTGTGAAGCATATAGAAAGAACTTTCTAAGCTTCGAGGGGGGTGTCTTTTAATTTGAAACCATTTTTTTAAAGCCCACTAGGTGGCAGATTTTAAAATTTCAAGGGAATTTTTTTTTATTAGTTGATTTTTTTTTCCAAGCTCATGGCTCCTGCTTTCATAAAGTCAAAAGCTTAATCTGTATTTGAATGAGGGAAGGCATATGCTTTCCCCTAAATATGTCTGATCTAAAAAGCATAAAATAAGAAATGATTTTTTTTATAACTATAAAATAATCATTTTTGATTATGGAGAAGAGATTTTAATGACTTAGTGCAGGAGAAGAAACATAATCTGGTTTATAGTCAAAGCTAGATTCTGATTCTAGGGAATTTGAAATGATAAAGAGAAAAAAGTGTTAAGATCCTGGCCCCAGCCATGCTGTTCTATTTTATGCTAAGGCACAAAAATACCTGCTTTGGTTTTTGAAACATGAGGATGAGTACTTAAATGATGTACAAGGGAGAGGTGAATGGCTTTAAAAAGCAGCACTGATGTGTGGAACTGCAAACATGGATTTGAGTGCTTAGAAGTAGGGATTTGGTAAGGTGGTATTAGAGAAGATTATAATATTCACAGTGAGATATGTAGGATGTCTAAAGTTCTTTGGAAAAGAACATGCTGCATTATTGGGTGCTGTCACAGTTTGGTCTGTACTTTCATTTCCACATTGATTTGTTCTCTTTAATTTCTGGATGCACTCTCTCATAAAAGTAGCAGCACAGAAGCTCTTATGTATCTGGCTCAGTACTTCTCCTTTTCTTTCCTGTAGGCTTCTATAATCTTTAGGCCGCATTTTACCACAGATATAGTAAATTCCCTAATGCTTTCTTTGCTGTTTAATTTTAATAATCTCTAATTAACCACTTGAGGTCCTTGAGGACCTTTGCTTATATCAAGCTGTTGGTATCAAAAAAGTTAGGAACCAGTCGTTGATCGCATGGTTTCCATGGTAGCATGGATCAAAGATAGCATCTCTAAATTGCAGGCTAATTAAAAATATTTTAAAAAATGCCTTCCGACGTGCTTTTTAATCTCATCAGCTGTAGCGACTTACAAATTTTCCAGCTTTCTTCCTGTGCTCTTTTGCACACTTACAGGAAAACCTTTCCTCACTGATGCAATTCCTGTTTGCTGGATTGTGCAGTGGCTTCTTGCTACACTCCGTGTTGATTGCTGGGAGGACTCTAGGTCTGGGGGTCTAGGTAGCTTAATTAATTTACCAGCATTAGAGAGACAGGGCTGGGGTGAAGAGCGGGTGGCATGAATTGCCTAACATATCTTTGGTGATGTCTTGCATGAGCAAAATGGATGTAATTTGTGATGGAATCAAGAAGGGATTTAATGCTTGTTCCTGCCTGATACGGAGCTGGTGAGTGGACTCCGGCGTGGCTGGCAGCACAGCGTGCAGCGTCCTCAGAAAACGGACTAGGGGAATGTGGGCCCATTATACAGGTGGAGTTGAATCCCTCTTGAATTAGCAACAGAACTTTTATCTAGCGCTTCTGGGAGCAGGAAAGCGGAACTGAGAGACCCTGTTTGCTCAGACCCATTTGAGATGGCGGCATTCAACACTAGGAGGGGAATCAGAACCACAGAGCTGCACGTGTCATAGTGTGCTCAGGGATATTCATGAATATGCAGCCACATTTGCTGTGGTCAGCTGTGCTCCTGGCAGCACACGGGCTCTCAGGGGTAGGATCTGGCTTTCTCTGGGGTTAGAGGTAGGTGTGAGTGACCAGATCACTCAGTATTTTGCATAAGGCCCTGCAAAGTGGAGAGCTCCGGGCGGGAGTGGTGGTTGGAGTTCCATCCTTACGCAGGTGGCCAGGCGTCCTGCCCTGGGCAGGTTCTCCCTTGCTGAGTTGGCTGCTCATTGAGACCTCTCAAGGAGTTGCTGTTTTCTACTCAGTCTCTCCTACTTAAACTCTCCGGAGCACTGTGCCCTTTCCATAGGTGCCTGTCTCCTACTGAGAGCTGAAACAACAGGTTTGTTGTAGGTAATGTGGAAGCATAAGTATATTTGTTTAGATGTGGTGTTGAGGGATATGGTTTAAGGGTGAGCTTTGTAGAGCTTTTGTAATGGTTGGACTCAAGGATCCCAAGGGTCCTTTCCAACCTGATTCTATGATTCTACATAATCTTTTAGTAGCCTTGCTGTGCTTTAAACCGTTTGCCACATCTGACAAAAAATGAAGTCTGTGCTGACTTGTGAGAAATATTTTGTCCTGGCTGATATGTTGACAGAGGTTGGATTTAATTTTTTAACTGACTTATAGACACTTAGCTATTTTCTTT